TGCTGCACAAGACCTCTTTAAAGTGTTCAAGAGCAAAGATGTCAGTTTGAGGACTAAGGTGCGCCTGGCCCAAGTCATCATATTTTCAGTAGCCTCATGTGCACTAGCGGAAAAAAAAAGACTTCAGGAAGTGACGGAATACAAATTGAAATGTTTAAAGCTGGAGGCACTCACTCGTCTATGCCAAGAATTTGGAAGACAACTACCTGAACAGCCCATTCCAAAGAAATGTGGCCCAATAGAATGCAGAAGCCATCAAACAATATTAATATCACATGCAAGTAAAATTTTGTTCAAGATAACTTCAAAACGATTATAATAGTATATCAACAGGGAGCAGCCAGAAATGAGCATGGAACTAGGGATATCATTACTGACGTCAGATGGGTCTTGGGTGAAAGCAGAGAATACCAGAAAGATGTTTACTTGTGCTTTATTGACTACGCAAAGGCTTTCTACTGTGTGGATCATGGCAAACTAGGAATTAAATTGTGAAGAACGAATATTCTAGAACATTTAATTGTGCTCATGAGGAACCTGTACAGAGACCAAGGGGCAGTTGTTAGAACAGAACTAGGGAACATTGAATGGTTTACAATCAGGAAAGGTGTATGCTAGGATTGTTTTCCTTCACCATACTTATTCAAGTTGTAGCTGAACAAATAATCCTAAAAGCTGGACTATAAGAAGAATGTGGCATCAGGATTGGAGGAAGACTCATTAATAACCTGCAATATGCAGATAACACAGCCTTGCTTACAGAAAGCAAAGAGGACTTAAAATGCTTACCGATGAAGGACAAAGAACACAGCATTTAGTATGGGCTGCCCCTCAATGGAAAGAAAACAAAGACACTCACAACAGGACCAATAAATAACATCATGATAAATGGAGAAAAGATTGAAGTTGTCAAAGACTTCATTTTGCTTGGATCCACAATCAATGCTTATGGAAGCAGCAGTCAAAAAATTCAATGACATATTTTGCATTAGGCAATCATATGACAATTGCATTAGGCAAATCTGTTGCACAAGAGGTCTTTAAAGTGCCTAAGAGCTGAGATTTTATTTTGAGGACTAAGGTGCCATTGACCCAAGTCATGACATTTTCAATCATCTCCTATGCGTGTGACAGGTGGACAGTGACTAAGGAAGACCGTAGAAGGATTGATGCTTTTGAGTTATGGTGTTGGCTACGGAGATTGAAAGTACCATGGACTGCCAGAAGAGCAAACAAATCTGTCTTGGAAGAAGTTCAACCCGAGTGCTTTTTAAAAATGAGGATGGTGATACTTTGTCTCTTGTCCTTTGGGTATGTTGTTAGGAGGGACCAGTCCCTGGAGAAGGACATCATGCTTGGTAGAGTGGAGGGTCAGCCTCAACAAGGTGGATTGGCACAGTGTCAATGGGCTCAAACAATATCAGGATGGTGCTGGACGGGACCGTGGTTCTGTTGGGCATAGGGTCGCTATGAATCAGGACCAACTGGATGGTATCTAACAACAACTAAAAACAATTTTGGACATGTTGTCAGGATGAACCAGTCTTTGGAGAAGGACATCATGTTTGGTAAAGTCGAGGGTTAACAAAATAGAGGGCGACTCTAATGAGGATGGGGCAGGGTTGGGTTCTGTTGTGCAGAGGATCGCTATGAGTCCAAGCAACAATTGTATTGATATTCAAAAGTGACACTGGTCTCAAGTTTTTCTTTTTGTACTGTTTTTTTCCCCCCAATCAGGTTTACTTATCAATATAGCTATACAATCTCTCTCTCTCTCTCTCTCTCTCTCTCTCTCTCTCTCAGGAGCTCTGGTAGCGTAGTGGTTACGAATCGGGCTGCAAACCGCAAGGTCAGCAGTTTGAAACTACCAGCTGCTCCGTGGGAGAAAGAGGAGGCTTTCTGCTCCTGTAAAGATTTACAGCCTCGGAAACCCTGTGCAGGGTCGCTATGGGTCGGAACCAACTCCACGGCACTTAACAACAACAACATCTCTCTCTATCCATGCATTATTCTTGTGAAGTGCCGTGGAGTCGATTCCGACCCATAGTGACCCTGTATAGGGTTTCCACGGAGCGGCTGGTGAGTTTGAACTACCGACCTTGCAATTCAAACGACTGTGCAGTCTGACGCATTAGCCCACAGCGCCACCCCAGGACTCTCTCTCTCTCTCTCTCTCTGTCTGTCTACTATGTTGTTGTTAAGTCATGCATGTTGAGTTGATTTTGACTCACAGCAAACCTGTATAGGGTTTCTGAGGAGTGGATGGAAGCTTCCAATCAGCAGTCCAGTGGTTGTCCCATATAGGATGTTATATATCATATATACTTTATAAAAAGAAGATCTCTCCTTCCATTTTGAATGCTTTATGAGTCATAATGAAACAATTTGCCTTTTCACAGAGAAATGAAACACTTTATGTTTCTTAATCGGATAGATTTGTCTCAGTTTAGTCAGGATATTTTACAATTGTTCTCTGTTATGTTATATTTTATGCGTTTCCTTTTCTACAAAATGTGTACTCTTTGCTCATTCATTTGTTTATTTCAGCATTAAGGAAGGTTTATATTTTTTTCTAGTGGTTACTTTTGCAAGTGCATTTAAAACAAGCTTTTTATTGTTGCTTGGGTTACTAACAAATCAGTTTTCCATGCACCAATGTATATCCATTTTGTTTCATGGCAATCGGCTGCAATCCCCACAGTGTGACAGCATTCTTTCAACTTCCTGAATTCCATGTTCCCATTTATTCTTCATTCCTGCCCCTTCCTGCCTTCTGGGTCTCGGAGGGCAAATTCTCCCTGTTGTCATTATTTACACTATAGGTCTGTCTATTGTTTAGCTGAAAGTTGATCCCTGGGAGTGGGTCTAGTTCTAGGTTTGAAGAAGTCTAAGAGGTACCACCATCTCTATCCCACCAGTCAGTCTGATCTTTTTTATGTTTTTCATCTTGTTCTATTTTTTATCTCCCTCTCTGTCCACCAGGACCTTCTATTGTTGTAAGTGCTACTGAGTCGGTTCCGACCCATAGCGACCCTGTATAGGGTTTCCAAGAGGCAGCTGCTGAACTTGAGCCACCGAGCTTGCAGTCCAAACGGTTTTGTGGTCTGGCTCATTCACCTACAGCGCCACCCCGACTCATGGAGATATGTTGCTGGACAGTGACTAAGGAAGATCGTAGAAGAATTGATACCTTTGAGTTATGATGGTGGAGGAGAATACTGAAAGTGCCATGGGCTGCCAAAAGAACCAATAGATCCGTTTTGGAAGACGTGCAGCCAGAGTGCTCCTTAGAGGCCAAGATAGCCAAATTTCATCTCTCATACTTTGTACATAATTTTCAGGATGGACCAGTCACTGGAGAAGGACATCATGTTTGGTAAGGTGGAGGGTCAGAGAAAAAGAGGAAGACCCCCAATGAGATGGGTTGGCAGAGTGGCAGCATTGATGGGCTCAAGCGTGGCAACAATAGTAAGGTTGGCCCAGGATTGGGCAGTGTTTCGTTCTGTTGTACATAGGGTTGCTATGAGTCAGTACTGACTCAATGGCACCCAACAACAACAACATCAGAAATAAACTTACATATGTATTAAACTAACAAAAATGTAAAATTGTTTTTTAATAATTTGAATTGTTTCTAGCAGAAGTTTGGGACTGTGGCTCTACTTACCATATCTTTATGCAAATAACATACACCTTACACATTTTTCCCAACCACACAACTTGTGCATTATTTTTGTAAGCATGCTCTGCTAAACTTTTAAAATGTGTTGCTGGCTTCAATTTCTATTTCTGATCGCATGGAGACTTCACTTTATCTAAGTATTAGTCATGGAATTGTGTCCAACTAAAAATGCCAACTTGGCTAGGCCATGAGTCCCAATATTGTGTGGTTGTCTTCCATTTGAGATTTGATGTAATTATTCTCCAAAGGATGCATTCTACTCCTGAGACTTCTTTCTTAATGGGAGTGAAGTCCCTCGCCTCTATGCTTGTAAGATAAAAGGATTTACAACACATCACAAAACGGAGAATAATTACATCAAATCTCAAATGAGTATGAGGTGTATCTTGAGTCATAGCCTTACAAGAGAGTATGACTCAGGTCATACCTTCACTAAGTCACACTTTGCTGAAGTCACACCTTTTATCTTACAAGCATAGAGGCGAGGGACTTCACTCCCATTAAGAAAGAAGTCTCAGGAGTAGAATGCATCCTTTGGACGTGGGATCCTTTCCCTGAGAACCTTCTAGACCTAGGGGAAGATTGATACCAAGACACGTGGGATCTCCAAGGAACACCAGTTTCTCAGATACTGAAAGGAGACAGGGACCTCATATTACTTGAAATTTAAATTGAAAGTGTTTATCGTTAGATCCAAAGTGATTTACAAAAGCGAATTTTTGTCATTTCCTGGTTGTGTCGACATCATTCTCATGAATGGAACCAAACAGTATGAAGAACTACGAAAGCAACATTTGGACTATTTTTAAGCACACATGTAAGAGATTAAAAAATGAACAGAACACAAGAAAATGAACCGAATGGTAGGATTTTCCTGTAATCTGGGTAAATGCACTTCAGGAAATGTCATGAGACTTGTGGGGCACACACATGGGCATGCAGTGGCAGAATTGGCTTGTTGAATTTCAGCATTTCTGTGTGTTATGGAGGGGTGCAACATTTGCACAAAAAAAAATACATATGCAATTTGAAGTTTAAGACATGTATTTAGATTTCACATGATGCACTCTAGCAATTCAAACCAAGAGCCAAACATTGTGATGCTTTCTGTGTGATTCAACTTTGTAGTGGCTAGACCATGGGCATAAAGAAAATGAAGTGAAAATATGAGCTCTATAAAATACACAGTGGGCATGTGGCTAAGTGGATGCAGAAATAGAAGAGTTGGATAGGCAAAACAATGTTTCCCATGTTCTTGTTTCAAAAAGGCTTTCTAACTATCACAGCAAATGATAAGTGATAACAGAGAGAATTTTTCCTAACTGATCTGTTTAGCGACACTTGCATAGGTCATTTCAATTTCTTTGGCTTCAGGACACGTGTGGGTAAATTCTTCACGGGCATAGGCATTGTGGAGATAGCGCCAGACTCCCGAATATTCTGCTGGAATGTCAAAGTCACGGTATTTTTTGGCAGCAACCTTGAGTTTTGGAATAAAAGAAGAAAAATCAGTTGGTAGTAAAACGAATCAGTAATATGCCATCCATGTAGCAACATGCCTTAGGAATCAAGCTCATTGAGGCCATTTTATCTACTCAAAATCTACTACAGATTATAACACATTTCCCAAAAGGATTTTGGATTTACTACTCTAATGTTTTGTCTACCAACGTAGAGAAAGCTATATAGCTTGCAACTATATGTTTATATTGATACTCTAGTTAATTATGGGTATGTTTAGAGGAATGGAGCTAAGAAAAGGGGCGCATATTGTCTCTTGTAGAGTGAGCTTGTTTAGAGTTCTGTCTAACTTCTTTATGTATTCTCTGTGTCTGGCATAGGGCCTGGGAGAAAGAACCATTCAATAAATATTTGTTAATTCAATGATGGGCGCATCATAATAATATTGCGAGTTCCTGTTTTTATCCTTTGTTGTGATCTAGGTAGAGTTCTAAGCATTTCATATGCTTTACTTTTTTGAAGTCTCTTAACAATTCTGTGAGAGAAGTAGTATTATAATCCTTGTTTTATATACCTTCTGATTTTAGGAAGGACAAAGCAAGACGCTTTTATGCTTCCCAGAGGGTCTGTCCTCTGAGGAGCAGATGGAGATATACATCCTTTTACTGATTGATGATGATGATGACAACGAAGTCATCACACAGCAACCTCACACTGGAATGTCACTGGCAACTCACAATCCCTCCCAAACCAGGCAACTGGTCTTACTTACTTTAATAATATTCAATTTGGGTAGCAAGTTGCAGTCAGCCAGTGTCAGCTGATCTCCATCCAAGAACAATCTTCTGGAAATTGTGACTTCCTCAGCGCTGCCTGGATCAATTTCATCCAGAAGTGGGGTGTTTAAGTAGTCATCCAGACGTTTTAATTCTCTGAGCAGATATTTTTCAAAATCTGAGGCAATGAAGTCATGGGTCACTTATAAATGTTTTGTCTTCATGAGTAAGTACACTATCATGATACTTTTCACACATTTAAACATCTCTAGCAACACATGTTGCTTAAACTGGCTCTTCAACATCTGAAGAGTTAACTCTTTAGAGTGCTCAACTCTCTATTAATGAGACAAAGTGAGATGGTGAGTGAAAACATTTTTGGCATTTTCTTGGGGAGATGCAGTGGAAGGAGAGTAAAAGAAACCAAGAAGAGAGCTGGTAGTTTCGAACTGCTTACCTTGAGGTTAGCAGCCCAACTTGTAACGACTACGCTACCAGAGGTCCTTTTCATCACTAACTTTAGAGGAGTGTAAAGCTGTTCAAGGATGTTTATGGGAGATGACAGATGCAGATATCTGGTGTGGCGCTGTAGGGTCAGCACTGGGCTGCCAACCACAAGGTCGGTGCTTCAAACCCACCAGCCACTCCTCAGAAGCCCTATATAGGGTCTCTGTGATTCGGAAACGACTCAGCAGCACTTAATAATAACAACAACAGTGTAAGGCACTTAAAAGATAACATGTTAATACTCTAATTGAACTAAGTTGCTAATTTCCATATTGAATTTTGGGTTCTAAATCTAATAAAAGTTTATGCAAGGAAATTTCAGAGGAAAGAAACAAGGGGACAAGGTGTTCCCCAACATATACCATATATATGTATATGTATATTTACACACATATACACACATATACATACATACTATATCATCAGGAAAACCTTTGTGAGTGTTTAACCTGCAAGTGAAGAAAATAGACTTAAAAGAAAAGTGTCTTACTCTTATTTGCTTCCTTTTGTGTATTCTTAATGTATGCAGAAAACTTGGCAAAGAGGTTACAGCCCACATCAAAGGATTCCTTGTACTTGGGGCTCAGGTGAGGATACCTTAAAAAGAAACACGACTGAACTATCATTCACACACACACAACAAGGCAGAGAGGGGATTTCAACGGAGACAAGATTGGAAGCTTTGAAAACCTTTACTGGAAACTGAAGGTTCTGAGAAATCTCGTATTAGAAATACAGTTTTTTTCCCCCAATCTCTGAATAGCTTAGTTTCTAAAGTTCACAGACAAATCACTTGTCTACAGTTGAAAGCTCATTTACCTGTAGAAACAATATTTTCAAATGTTTCCAATAGCAGTTACGCTCCCATTCTTGCTCCTAAAAGACTATTTGGCAGAACATAAGGAGCTCGGGTAGCGTAGTGGTTACGAATCGGGCTGCGAACCTAAAGATCAGCGGTTTGAAACTACCAGCTGCTCCGCGGGAGAAAGATGAGGCTTTCTACTCCCGTAAGGATTTACACCCTCGGAAACCCTGTACAGGGTCGCTATGGGTCGGAACCGACTCGACAGCACTTTACAACAACAACATGGTGGTAATGGCGTCCTGGTGTGGCGCTGTGGGTTAATGCACCAGACTGCAAAGCCACTTAAACTGCAAGGTCAGCAGTTCAAGCTCACCACTGGCTCCTTGGAAACCCTATATAGGGTCGCTATGGGTCTGAACCGACTAGACAGTACTTCACAACAGCAACAATGGTGGTAATGCAATACATTTTCATGGAGAAGTAGTACAAAAAGATACAATTTCAAATGTTTTAACTTGCAAAATGAATGAATGGATAAAAAAGTTGCAGAAGTTAGAAGACAAGAAAATCAAGTCTCCATATACAAAACTGAGGAGGAAACTTACAACCTGGAAGATCATAAGGGAATTCTATCACCAACTGCCTGCCAATAAATTTGAATCTTAGAAGAATATTATCAGTTATCCTAGAATGCATACTGCTAAACAAAAAGGACTCAAGAATATGAATATCAACGGTGGTGGTGTGCCACAAAGTCGGTTCTGACTCATTGCGACCCTGTATAGATTTTCAGAGGCTGTAAATTTTGGGGGGAGCAGAAAGCCTTAGCTTTCTCCTGTGGAACAGCTAGCTAGTAAATTTGAACTGCTGATCTAGAGGTTAGCAGCCCGACTCGTAACCACTATGCTACCAGAATATCAATAGGCATATAATAATAAAAAATAAAATATATACTTTATATTCACCAGGACAAAAATAAAAGGCATCAGGTTCAGATTATTTTTACACGCAAGTTTTCCAAACCATTAAGGAAAGGATAATCCCTTTTATATACCATGTTCTACAGAGGGAAAAAGAAAAGGATGATATTCCCCAATTCATTGTAACTGGCTTTTATCTGCTTGATGCCCAAACTAGATAAAAGCAGCATTAGAAAGAAAAAATATGGGTCAATGTTTTTTTATTAACATAGATGAACTCCTAAAAAAATTAGCAATCAAATTCAGCACAGGATAAAAAATTTACTTTAAATGATCAAGACGTCCCCTCCTTGGGAATATAGTTCACATTGCATAATACAATCCGGTAATGTCATTCATGGCATCAGTGAATTAAATGAAAAAAGCCATATAATCATGAATACATGCACAAAAAAGTGTTCAGTAAAAATCATCGATACCTTAGGCATTAGTGAGCTGAAATGGACTGGTATTGGGCATTTTGAATCTGACAACCACATGGTTTACTGTGCAGGGAGTGGCAAATTGAAAAGGAATGGTGTTGCTTTCATCATCAAGAAGAACATATCCAGATCAGTCATGAGGTACAATGCTATAAGTGATAGGATAATATCCATGCGCCTACAGGGAAGCCCAGTTAATACCACTATTATTCA